AGCAGGAGCAGGAGATGAGCAGGAGCAGGAGCAGGAGCAGGAGCAGGAGCAGGAGCAGGAGCAGGAGGTATACACACCTTCTGTAACAGGTCCTGCTTCTCTTTGCGGAATGAGTCAGCCTTGGCTCGTTCAGCGTCATATTTCTTCTCTAGAGCCTCTCGCCTGCCCAGTGAGGGTGAGCTGGAGGCTGAGCTGGGAAAGGGCAGCAAGGGACCTCCTCCTCTCCTTCTGGAGCTCGGCATGCATGTTCTCAATCTTCTGATCCATCTCCTGGAAGAACAGTGAATCTAGAGGCAGAGGAAGAGGAGATAGAAACGGAGGGCAGAGAGGAGGAGGTGGTCAAGGAGGAGGTGGTCAAGGAGGAGGAGGAGGAGGAGGAGGAGGAGGAGGAGGAGGAGAAGGTGGTGGTGGTATCTCCTCTCTTTCCTCTCACCTTCTTCAGCTCCTCAACTTTTGCAGGGTTTGTTCCTTGGCTCTTTTCCGCCTCTTTCAGCTTCCTTCGGGCGTCTTCCAGCTGCCACAAACAGGCTGTCAAACAGAAAGTTGCGAGTTGAGGCTGCTGACTTTGGCTCCGAGGTCTCCAAGCAGATGTTGATGTGTTTCACGATCAGCGACGAGCTGAGAGGTGAGAAGGTGAGAAGACCCGACGGGGAGAGAGGAGGGAGAAAGGAGAGGGAGAAAGAGAAGAAGGGGAGGAGGGGAGGAGGGGAGGAGGGGAGGAGGGGAGGAGGGGGAGGGAGGGGGTATGTGGGAGCGATTGGGAATTTTGACGACCAGCACCTGCTTGTTGAGAAGATCTGCTGCCATCTGAGCCTCATACAGCTCCTTCTCCTGCCATCGCACGTCAATGAGACGATGGAGAGGAGAAGATGAGGAAAGGAGCGAAGCCGGTGAGGTAGCAGGGGAGGATTAGAGTATCAGCATGAGGACGAGGACGAGAACGAGGACGAGGACGAGAACGAGAACGAGGACGAGGACGAGGACGAGGACAAGTTCAGTGAGCAGTAGAATGATGCGGAGGAGGGGTAGAAGGGGCAATGAAGGAGGAGGATAAGGAGGAGGAGGATAAGGAGGAGGATGGGGGTGGGGGAGGGGAAGGGAGTGGCGGGGGGGGATGGAGCAGGAGCAGGAGCAGGAGCAGGAGCAGGAGCAGGAGTTACCTTCGAAGAGATCTTCTCCATCATCTCAGACTCCTTCTGGTCGTTGTAGTTGAATGCCTCTATTGACGACAGTAGGACCTGCCCAAAGATGTAAGAGAGGTAGAAAGAGAGAGGGAGAGAGTGAGTGAGAGAGAGGGAGAAAGGAGGGAGGGAGGGAGAGGGAGAGGGAGAGGGAGAGGGAGAGGGAGAGGGAAGACGGTAGGAGAGGAGCGCATCAACATCTGGGGATGATGATGACGATGATGTAGAGCAAGAGCTCTAAAATAGGAGATTACCTCTCGTTGACAAGCTTTCTGATCTTCACAGAGGATGTTGAAGCTGTCGTGCCCGATGCAGGGCGCGACAGCTTTGCTGCCGACCAAGTTCTTGAGCCTTCCTCGTCTACACGAATATCAGCAAGGACGAATAGGTGAACAAGGGAGAATGGGGAGAGGGAGGAGGAGAGGAGGGGAGGAGCGTAGCAGGGAAGAAGCAGAGTTGACAGGAAATACTTTTCGGCAGCTTTTTTCTTCGCATGCTTCCACTTGGAAAACGAGACGGTTCTTCTTTTCTTCTTGCCTATTACAACAGTTACAAACTGCAGAAAGGAAGGCAAATCCCCGTCCCCTACTCCTCGCTCTACTTCCCATCATCCTACCCGCACGTCCTCCGTTTCCTTCCTTCCTTCCTCCTTCTCCTGTACCTGCCCCTGTCCCTAGCCTTGTCCATTCCCCTTCTTCCCAACGTTTTGATTCCTCTCGCTCCTCCACCTCTCCTGCTGCTGCTGCTGCCGCCGCTCCTCCTCCTCTCCTCCTCACCTTTCAGCTGTTCATCAGGAGTCTTGGTCACAGTGTAGGTACAGAAGTGGACGTTGTCCTTTGCTGACATGGTGACAGCTGAGAACGACTTGGCCGTGATCGCATTCGACGGCAACCTCCTCGTCCCCTTAGACAGTTTCTCTATCTCCACCGCAAGATTCTTTGACTCTCCTCGCCCTCCCTGCTTGCCTCCTCCCTCCCCCCACCACTTGTCGCTTCCTTCCTGCCCCAACTGCCTACCCCTCCCTCCCTCCTCCGCCGACCCCCCTGCATCCTCCTGCACCGGCCGAGCTGGTACGCAGAGCTGGCCGTCGAAGGAGAAGCCGGAACTACACACGCATTGGTTGAGGAGAGGATCGTAGATCGCCGCCTTCCCGTAGCTGTTCCTGCAGTAGCCCAGCAGCTCGACAAGTTCGTTGACGTCCATCTCCTCCGTCTCCTGCAGCGACATCGACTTGGAGGAGCAGGGAGGGCTCATCCAACCCACAAGTAGGAGGAGCAGCAATGAGTGGCCGGTGGGACCTCTCATACTGCCTGATGACGCCTTAGCTTCTTAACCCCTTCCTCTCTCCTCCTTCCTTTCTCCTCCTTCCTCGCACTCTCTCCTTTGCTCTCTGAAATGTCTCCACTAGAAGCGCACAACAGCCAACTCCTCCTCCTCCTCCTCCTCCTTCGTCCCCTGCATCAACAAGGTCAGGTTCACGTGCGTAACGTTCATTGCGTGCGGCATCACAAGAGAAAGTGAGAGGCAGAGGAGGAAGCGATCAAACGCAAGAGACACGCTCATGTCCAACACGACAAACGTCGATCTGCGGTAGGGGGTATCGCTGAAGTAATCTAGAAGGACAAGGAAAGCAGGGCAAGGAAGGGACTGGGAGAAAGGGGGCGGGTGTTCCTAAGAGAGAGAGAGGATTTGATGTGAGGGAGGATGCAACTGGGAGAGTGAGGGCGAATTGATGTGAGTGGAGATGATGCGCAAAGGGGTTCATGGCTAAGAAACAATTTGATGATGGCATGCATATTGAGAAGAGAGATGCAGGACGCTTGAGGAGATGGTGGAGGATTATGAAAGAAAGGAAGACATGGGCCACGGCCTGAGAACGAGGAGATTGCAGTGACGTGGAGTTAGGCTGGGATTCCTGCTGAAACAGGAGGAAGTGTGGTAGAGGATGGAAGTAGAATAGAGGATAAGGAGGGTAAACAAAGAGGAGGAGCAGAGGTAACCATGAGGGCAAGGATGCAAGGAGTAAGTTCAGCAGCATAGTAGGTCAAGCTGTCGATATGCGAGGAGGGTGAGGAGGAGGAGGAGGAGGAGGAGGCGTTGTCCGTCAAGGGGAGCATGGAGGCGGCCGGGTGAGGTGTGAGAGGTTTAGTTCAGCTCAACCTAAATAGATGCCTGGCCGACAGTGATTTCTGGCTGTGGCCCGGGCCCGGGCCCGGCGTGAGACTGAGCGGCCGGGCTGCCAGTACTGAAGATTAAAGTTAACTCGGAAGTGGTACCAAAATATTTACTCAATATCAATTCGGCCTTGTTTATAACAATTTATAAGATGTGATATAAATTTATAATATCCATAACCTACCGGGCTTTTAAAATGTGTTGTAGTGAATTGAGGCGACATGCCCACGCGCAGAATGGGGGAAAGACGGGAATGCGGAGGCGAGGAGAGAAGAAGCGAGGGAGGAGGGAGAGGGAGAGGGAGGATGCGAGGGGAGAGGGAGAGGGAGAGGGATGATGGATGGAGAGAGGAAGGAGGAGGAAGGAGGATGGAGGTAGAAGGAGGAGGGAGGGAGGGGAGGGGAGGGGAGAGTAGAAGGAGAGAGGGAGGGAGGGAGGGGAGGGGAGGGGAGAGGAGGGGAGAGAGGGAAATGGAGAGAGACGAGGAAAGGAGAAATGGGTGAGTGAATTTGAGCAGGAGAGGAGAGAGGAGAAAATAGAGAGAGGAGCAAGGATGACATTCACGGTACCGAGATGATTCAACTGATGAGCAATTATGTCATAGAGTAGAATAATCCATGGAGGAGGATGGGAGAGCAGAAAATAGACACTGGAGGCAGCAAAGAGATCATTGAAGGGTCGATGGGCGGTGTATTATTGAAAGGACTACTTGGCCGGTGCTGAAGATATGCGGCAGAAAGAGAGTGGATCTAATGAAAAATCATGGAGAAATGGGTTAGCAGGTAGCCCAATATTGATTGTTGAGAACAGGCAGGCAGGTAGGCAGGCAGGCAGGCAAGATGAAAGTACGGAGGGACGGCATGGTGCGGTGCACTGTGTCTTCCAGAAGTGGGAGGACGTCAATTGTACGAGCATCGATAACGTGATGAAGAAATGAAGTGAGGTCGAGGATGCAGAGGAGTGGAGGGAAGGAGAGTAAGGATGACAGGCATGCAGAGGAGTGGTGGTGGAGAGGATTAGACAGGGTTGCAATAACACCTATCATCACTCCTTCTCAGTAATGACTTCTACCTCCAGGAATGCTTGTCAGTGCCCCGACGTTGACAACATTGACTCTCGTCCAAGTAGACAGTCGGTAGCCTCCTCGCTGCTTCACCCCCCTCCTACCCCCGGATGCCGGCTCGTCTGCAGAGAGCTCTTCTCGATCCGATCTAATCTTGAGCGGGTAGTGGAACACGGGAGCAGGCTATGGTCGTGTAGGAGCAGGTGCTGCCGACGATGAGCAGACTTCACTGTCTGCTTCCCGCCATTTTCTCCCTCGGAGTTTTGCTCGGGCCCATCAGCAGCAGTCACGCAGCAGCAGGAGCCGGGAGCTTGAAGGGATGCAACGGACATGGCCTTCTCCTCTCCTGTCGTCTCCGCGGAGGGAGCACCCGTCTCGACCGCTGGCTCCTCCGTCCCTTCCAGTCTCAGAGCTGCTTCCCATCTCGCTCGCAGTCTTCTCCTTGCGTCCTGATCAAGGGCGATGCGTGCAGCCCGGTAGCCCCTGGAGGGGAGGAGACGAACGACAGACCAGCGAGGGACGGGGAAGGCACTGCGGTGGCGTGTTGCGGGACAGAGCAGGGGAGCATAGCAGAAGGGGCAGGAGGTTCTTCGTCCTCTAGGCTCAAACCTCCCTTGGCTCCTCGCGCTCCTCGGAGCTCACCACTGCTAGGTTGCCTCCCGTTTGGAGCGAGTTGGCTGGCGAACAAGTTCCTTCATGTGCTGCAGCAGCAGCTGCCTCCTCGAAGCAAGTCGTGGCCTCAGCACCGGGAGTCTCACCTCCAGCAGGAGCCGAGGAGCTCTGGCAGGAGCTTCTACTCTTCCTTCTCCTCCCCTTGGCGGGAGGCCCGCAATGAGCCTGCGACGGAGGACTTCTCGCAGCTGCTGGCAGAGAAACGAGAGAGGAAGGTGAGAGGTCGGAGGCAGAAGGAGGAGGAAAAGAATCGCGCAGCGGAGATGGGTGAACTGTCGGAGTGTCTGTCAACCATCGACTGTGCGGACAAAAGCGCAGGTGGAGGGATGAACACGGTTCTTGAGGACCCGGAGATGGAGGAGGAGTACGCCAAGAGCTACATCAACGGATACGCCGCGCTGGTGTGGAACGAGGATGGGACTTCGGCCCGAGGTCTGGTGCCTGTCCGCTACTACTCCGAGTCAGACTCCAGCTCGCCGAGAGAGTCCAAGGAAGAGGGAGAAGAGGCCAGCAGCAGCGAAGCTCCTCTAGGACGAGAGAAGGACGAGGTTGCTGCCAGTCAGAGAGAAGGGAGAGGAGCGCTTGCGAGGCAGAAGGAGCCGGGGATGGTGTCGACGAAAACGCTGCGACGGCTGGACGAGCGAGCAGAGCGAGTGAAGGCGCTATGGGAGCGTCAAGGCTTTTCAACCTACTGGGACCTGAGGTGGACGCCAGATGGAGGGCAGAAGAAGGCACAGGAGGAGGAGGAGGAGGAGGAGGAGGAGGAGGAGGGCGAGGAGGCAGAGCAGGTAAAGGCAGAGGACAGGCAGAGCTTTCAGAGTGTGGCGTACTCGTGGCGGGAGGTGAGCAAGAAGGATGGAGATCGGTCTCCTCTAGACGCCAGCGAGAGGCGGGGCCCCTGCTCCATCTACTCGCTGCAGGGCCGACGGCCGACCATGGAGGACGCGTTTGCCTCCTTCCCCTGCTCCGGCAGGACCGACATGGCGCTCATGGCGGGCAAGTGGCGTCTCTTCGGCATGTTCGACGGTCACGGGGGGACGCGCTGCTCTCACTTCTGCCGTGACGAGCTCCTCACCAACGTAGCCAGCTTCATCCCAGCTGGGGACGCCAGCTGCGACCAGGTGTGCGAGGCTCTGATCGAGGGGTTCTTGTACTCGGACCGCAAGTTCCTTCTCCATGCCGAGCGGTTCGACTGGATCGACGGCTCGACCGCCATCGTCGTCGCTCTCTCCTCCTCCGAGATCATCGTGGCCAACGCAGGAGACTGCCGAGCTGTCCTTGGCGTGGTGAGCCCACAAGCTTCCCACCCCCCAGCTGAGCTGAACTCTGTGCAGGTGAGGAGTAGCGGAGACGCCGGGGAGCTGATCGTGGACTCGATCGCCATGTCGCGCGACCACCGACTAGACGACGAGGAAGAAGTCTCGCGCGTTCAGTCCATGGTGATGGCTCGTGCTCGCAGTGTATCTGAGCTGAGCCTGCGGTCAGGGAGGGTTTGTGCTTCACCGTTACGGGTCCGGCATCCCCCGCGTCATGGGCGTACTCGGTTGCTCTTCTGCTCCCCTTCACTCCTCTTTCCCTCTAGTTCTACTCCTCCCGCCCTCCCTTACTTTACAACCCCTTTGCCCTCGCCCTCGCCCTCTTCTTCCCAGGCTCATGTGCTGCTCTGTCCAGCTGTCTCAAGAGCTCTCGGCGATGCCTCCTTGAAGCCGTACGTCACTGCCGAACCCGACATCTCCCTCATCGCACGCGCCGACGAACAATGGTCAGATACCTGCCAACACCTCCCTGCCCCGCTCCTCCTCCTCCCTCTGCCGCATCTCCTATCTTGCTCCTCCCCTCTTTCTTCTCTCTTTCCTCCTGCTCCTCCTGCTCCCTCCCCTCCCCTTCCCCCTCCTTCGTTCCTTCCCCACATTTCCTTGGTGTCCTCCTCCATATTCCTCTTCAGCACCTCCTGCTGTGCTCAAGAAATCCCTCTCAACCTTCTTGTATCCTCTTGCTCTTTCTCCTCCCCTCACATCATTTCAGGTTCATCGTCCTCGCTACAGATGGGCTTTGGGACGTTTTCAGGTCAACTGATTTTCTGCCCTCCCCTTTCCTTCACTCGTTCCTGCTTGCAACTTGCCCATATCCTTTTTCTCTCCCTCCCCCCTCCCTTCGCCTCCCTCCCTCCCTTCTCCTCCCTCCCTCCTCCCTGCTCACTCCCTCCTCCCTCCTCCCTTTCTCCTCCCCTCGGGGTTGCGACAGCCGCTGAACGTTCCCGCCAGCAATGAGGAGGCAGTCAGCTTCATTCTCGCGCATATGATCGAAGGAGCGCCAGACTGCGGAGCGAGGGTAAGGAGGAGGACAAGGATGCGGGAGAAGGAGGCGGGAGGAAAGAGGAGTCATACAGCACGAGGAAGAGAATGAGTAGAGGAAGCAGAAGAGGAGGATGCATGTGGAGGAAGTGGGCGCAAGGGAGGAGGGAGGAGAGGAGCAAGGGAGGAGGGAGGAGAGGAGCAAGGGACGAGGAAGGTGAAGCCTGAAGACTTGGCAGGCTCTGGCGCATGCCGCTTTCAAGAGAGGATCGACGGACAACATCTCAGTGATGATCATCGACCTTCGAGGAGGACGAGGATGAGGACGAGGACGTGCCCAGGAGGATTGCATGACTCAGTGACTCAGTGAGGAGGAGGACTGGGAGGAGCAGGACAAGGAGGACGACGCTGTGCAGAGGAGGAGGAGGAGGAGGAGGAGGAGGAGGAGGAGGACCCAGACGAGCCTGCCGTCGCCGCCGGCATTCAAGAGCTGACAGACAGTGCGGCTCGCCGGACTCCGAGCACTGGCACTGAGTTACCGCATACTATACTGGCCGCAGCGGCACCGCTGCAGCCTGAGCGGAGCCTGGCAGATTAAGTTTGCAGCCTGAGTAGCCCGGGTATGATAGTGAACGCCAGTCAGAACTGAAATGAAACGTGAACTTGAACTGTACTACTACTTTACTTAACTGGGGCAGCCGCTGCCGTGCTGTCGAACAGGCTGATTAGGTTGAGGCGGGTCACCTTTGAGGCGGGTCACCTGCAGTTCCACATGTCGTTGACAGTGGCCACCGGAGTCCGGCGAGTCGGCCACAGTTCAAACGGCGGTTGCCGGCGTTGAACACTGGCCGCCGCCGTCGGACTACGGTCACGCGGGCTGGCCGCCGGGGGCGCGCGGGACTCCCTGGGCCCGTTCAACCATTGAAGCTGAACTCAGCCGAAGCCTCGGACCGTCGGACTCCGTGACTGGCACTGCGGCAGCCGGTAGTGCCCGGGCCCGGCCGGTGCAGCCTCCGCCGCGCTTGTGTGCCCTTTCGCGTTTCGTGAGAATATTCCGGTGAAACTTATTTATAACGGAAATAATCCAAAAAGGTGAAGTCAGAGGGTGGGGTGCTTCTGAGGTAAATCCCCCAGAGGTTATCCCATTACCACTGAATATTACCTAAAAAGTACCCCTATATTTTAGGATGTTGTTTTTGGGAGAGGGTTGTACAGTGGGTGAGGGGGGTGATAAAGGTGGGTGGATTGTCCCCGAAATAGATCAAAGAAGCGCTATGTTCCAGGTAAGATGGTGGAATGGTTGAAGCGAAGAAACGAGGAGGAGGAGCAGGAGGAGGAAAAGGAGATGTTGTAGAAGTGGATGTACAGCAGAGGATGATCAGACACCCTGAAGGAAGGAATCAAACATATGCACTTGGACCAGGACCAAAGCTCCAAGCTCACCTGTGAAAGTAAATATCCATCATGCAGTACAGAGGCAATATGGCAGCAAATAGATGAAGATCCAACTGAAAGATTGAAATAATGGGGGGATAAACTGAATATTTCAGGAACAAGCTCATTTCTTTTGCAAATTTTAGAACACAGCATTGATGTTAGAGACGTTGCTGATGATGTGTTATGGCGGCGGTGATAGGCATGGCACATCGCCCTGATTGATGCTCTATGCAACCTGAGCAAATGATGAGGCACGGATGTCTACGCTCTTTCATTCTCTCGAATATGCTGGGAAATCTTAGGTGGAGACTTGAGTTGTAGTTTAGCTGAGCTTGTAGTGCACCGTTTGTGCTGCCTGTTAGTGCATGATGAGGTTGTTTCCCCATGTGTCTCTTCCAAAGTGTTTCAAACTTGCGCACATCGAGATCTTACATGACCGCAGCTTCTCTCCGTCTTCACTCCTCCTCCCGGCATCTTCCCTGTTCCTCATTGGGTAAGGACGGCAAGGAAGGGAGAGAGATGCCTGATGCCAGTATAGGCTGCCATCACCGACCGTGAGGATCGTCTCACCATGGAAGATGGTGTTCCTCGTCGTGACTTCTGGGGGGTACGACAGCAACTGAAATGATTCGAGAATTACTGACAGATTCTTCTTCTCTTCTTCTCTGCTTCCGCTTTCTTCTTCTCTTCCCGCTGCCATTTCTGTCTTTCAACGCCCATCCATAATGATCTCCTCCGTGCTTGCATGTTTCGTCAACTTTCAGACGGTAAGAGCTCATATGGATGTAGTCTGACTCTTCTTGACTTGAACTTCGCAGTACTGGGATCCTCCAGTCCAGCACTTGTGGGGAACCGTAAGGGACGAAGAAAACACTTGAGCCGGTGATGACGATTTTTTGGCAGTACACCAACCCCATCGAGTCCACATAAGCGCGGCAAACGTTTTCTTCTATGAAGGTGGGGGCGATCCAGTCGGGAAGTTTTGTGCTTTCCTCTGGGGTTGTGGGATGAAAGACACTTCATTTCAGAAACGAGTTAACATAGTAGTTGGTCTTGTCTAGTCTATTTTATTCGATTGTTTTTACAACAATTGAAGTTTTTACATCTCACTGGTCCTGTATTCGCAATTGTCTTGTGTGGTAATCAGCGGTTTCATTCACAAAAGTACATAATCAGATACAGCATGTACATATGTGCATCTAATCCATCACAGTGTTCTATCTCGATTTACATCGTTTGAACCGGCAGACCATGGCAAGGGACAATTGATCCGCCATCCTCTTGCTCTCCTTGTGTCTGGCCAAATCGACATCCTCTGTCACTCTCTCTGGAGCCACTCCGAGCTCGAGCGACTTGAGGAACTGCTGCTGCCGTCCTATCACGCTCCCTGGCCTCACCAGCCGCAGCCACGCGATGGCCTCGTTGGCTCTGAAACGATGCGCCGCCATCATGTAAACAGCAATCAGAGTTCCAGTCCTGCCCAGACCCGCCCGGCAATGCACAGCCACCGACCCCTTCTCATCCTTGCAGATCTTGAGGAACTTCTCCACGATGGCACGAGGAGGGGCAGTGCAGTCCTCGAACTGCAAGTCGTAGTGTCTGATCCCCTCCTTCTCAAACTCAGCGGGATCGTAAGTCTCCGGCTCGTTGAGACGGACAACGGCAGTGACGCCTTTGGCCTTGAACGCCTCTACGCACTTGGAGGGGCTAAAGGCGGTCGGATCCTCCTTGAACTTTCTCCTCACGTCAGGGCCTCGGAAGGCGATGAGCTTCGGGCAGATGACGTGGAAGTCAAAACTTGGATGGTTCCACCGTACGTAGTCGTCCAAGTCGAACTTGTCCAGATTGAACCAGCCCAGCTTGACTGCCCTCAAGAGCCCGCGGAGGCAATCGAGGATGGGGAGGTCGTACTCGGAAGGGCAGTGAGAGGCATCTCGGTAAGGCTTGATGGGAGACGCTTTCATCCGCTGGAAGGGAGCATAGGCAGCCTCTGGGGTCAGACCCCGACGGAGCATGATGTAGGCGCTAAGGAGGAACGCAGCGTTGGTAACAGAGGATGACTCATTCTCACAATAGTAGACGAGGTGTCGCTGCTGCAGCCGGGGCTCATTCATCTTCTCGTCTACCAAGACACAGAAGTGATAGAGGGCCGCCAGATTGACTGGTCCGAAATCATGACAGAAGGGCTCATAACTTTCCTGAGCCTCTGACGAGAAGAAGAAGAGCTTCGGCTTGTCTGTGATCTCCCTCTTAGTTTGCTCATCATCTTCATGCACAGTGAAAGAGAGGCGGCCTGGGAGAACAGGAAAGATCTTTCCAACTGACCATTCTTCATCGAACGTTCCCCATACCGCTGACGAGACGTCTGAGAACATGTTCCTCTTGTCCGCAGCTGGAGGTGTGGTCGGCCCGGCAAGTCCATCCAATGGTGGAGGCCTGTGGGAAGGATGGGACAACATCTGGCAGGTGTGGAGAGGACTTCTTGCTTCTGTATTCTGCAGATCTGACACCACGAGGGTTGGGCTTGGTTTGCGATGTGCAGCCGGAGGCTCAGGAGAAACGCACAAGCCATCACCGAACACTTCATCCTGAGTTGTTGCGATAGCAGAAAGTTCCATCCAAGATCTTTGCCTTGAGCTCCAGTCCTCAAAGCTTCTGGGCCTTGCAGAATGAAGGGGAAATAAGGGGGCGGTATTTGGTACCGCACTATTCGAGTGACAAATCTGTCCCCCAGACATCATCCCGAACGTTAGGACCGCGTCAGAGGCGTTTGGGTTGGGGAAGAGGGAAGGAGAGACTTGAGGATGCAGGGAGATATTGAGGTGAGGGAGAAGGAGGCAGGAGGAGGACGGAGGAGTAGCAGCGCAGGGTACGCGGCATGGCGCCGCTTGCATGTTGAATCTGACGCGCTTGCCTGTGCTGCAAGAGGGCAAATCAACCTGTATATCAACAGCCGGGGTAGGGTGGTGTAAGAAGGGGTCTTGATAGGGGGGTCATTATGCTCCAGTAAATAAACTATATTTCACTAGAACGCCAATCAATAAACAATTGATTTGACTGTGTACGGATTTGATGCTGTTTTGTTGAGAACCAAAACTTTACAGTCTATAATACAACAAAACTGTAAACGTATTGTGACTCACTGTGACATGTAGAGGGGGTTGTTCCACGTCAGTTGGAGCAGAAAGAGGGGTGGGTGGAGGTTGGACAGGGAAGGAACGATAGTAGTCCTGTGGTTCCAGATTGCTTCTGTAAGCCTATTCTTACAACACGCTTTTTAAAACGGGGGTGCAGGTATTAGAGGGTGGGGTGGTGATGGGAGGGGGTGGGGAGTGTGTGAAAAGGGTACAAAGTATCCTCAACCCAGGGGTTTGATTGAACATGAGTGGGTAGTCAATGCATGAGGTCTTAATAGACAGTTTCAATCTTTATAAAGTATGATGGACTAGGGGTACTTGTCAATGTCGGGAAGGGGTGGTATCGGGCAGCAAAGTCAAAGGTTGTCCTTTGCTTTCGAATCATATAAAACTAGTTTTACGAAAAAGCATTTCGGAGTTGAACTCCAGGGTCCATGAGAACATGAGATATGCATACCTGAAATAGTTTGAAACGACATACAAATATTTGAAATATAGACGATAACATATTTGGAATTTTTCTTTGAACTGAAACAAGAGGTGGTCATGTGAATTCGGATTAGGAGGCATGCTTACAGAGTAGCTGTAAGGCTTGTGGAGTGTGGATGCGAAAAGATGTCTTTTCGTTAATTAAAGGGAAATATATCATGAGATTTTAATTGGATTGAGAATGCCTTCTTACTTTATCAGCAGTTGGTCAAATATCATCAAATTCTTGTATACAGTTTCAATAATTCAGAACACTATTTCGAAATCAGAGACATAGGAAAGCCTGTAAGCCCTTGGTTGTGGACCTCGTGATCAAATGACAACCGATCGTCCTATCACGGATCCTCCCAACGGACTTCCAGTCGGATGGGTCCGTGAGGGGAAGCGGGTAGTGAACTTGTCCCCGAAGACAGCCTCTGAGGCGGGTGATAAAAACTTTTGATGAGTAACTTAAAAACCGTTAACACTGAGCGGGCCCGCCCGGCCGGCTGGGCGGCTGACGGTCGGACCGTACGTGACGGCCGCGACTTCACTGAGAGCCCGGCGTTCGAACCTCAACTTCAGCCAACTCCGGCTGAGGCGTGGTGTTCTTGCCCGCCTGTCTTTTCTCTTCTCAGTGACTGAGCCGACGGGCCGCCGTATCGGCGCCGGCGGCCCGGCCGGCGCCGCCCGCCGGCGCGCGCGGCCCCACGGACGGACGTGCCAGGCGGCCCACTGGCTGCCAGGCGGGGCGGCCCACTGCCAGGCCGCCGCCACGGACGGACGTGCCAGGCGGCCCACTGGCCGCAGTCACGGTGCGCCGCCCGCACCGTCGCGTCCGACTCCGAGCCTGACTCCGATTGTCGGCGGCGGCCGCCGGCCGGCCCCGGCCGGGCCAGGGGCGCGGCGGGCCCGGACCCCCGGTACTCAGTGACTACTGGTTCACACCGTGATCATATGTGTCCTGTCAGTACTACACGGTCCGGCGGAGTCCTGATTGTCCTCGGCGTACTCATTTGCCGCCGCAGTGCAACTTACAAGTTAAATCAGAGTAGCCTAGTAGGTTCCAGGCTTTGCCGGGCAAGTTGCCAGTGGTGACCAAAGAAGGGCCTGCAGCCGGCCCCCCGGCGCTGGCGCCGGGCGCGCCGGGACGCCCCGGCGCCGTACCGTACCCCGGGCCGTGATCGGACCGCCGGTACGGCGGCGCAGCCGGGCGCGTCATTGGGCCGCCGCCGGTGACTTTCGCCGTGCGCCGTTGACGCCGGTCGCCGGTCACGGCGGGCGGAGGCTTCAAGTCCTAGGGTTGAGTGACTACCGTTAGTACGGTCACTGCCACGGCTGAAAAAAAGGACGGTTCGGAAGGCTTCGGCGGCGCAGGCATGTGCCGTGGCGTTCCACGGCGGAGACGGTCCGGGGGCCGGGGCCCGTGTGGCAGTGCGGTCGGACTCAGTGTGACCGGCCCGGGTGAATTATGGGAACCGTGGTGGTAGTGATCAGGCTACTGCCACCGGGCCCCCGCGAGCTCCGGGAGGCACTTAGTCATGCCGCCGCAGTGCCATAATGATCCCGGGCCCGGACGGCAGTGACAGTGCCGCCAGTGCCGCCGGCCGGCCGCCTTGCCAACCGTGACCCGGCTGCCACGGAAACTTTCAATGAGTGGCGCCGGGGGCCGCTTTACAGGCGCCTGAGTCACTGAGTGCGACAACAAAGTTCATTTATCCCGGCACCGGCGTACAACTTCGATCACTGCCGCCGCCGATCGCGCGGGCGCCGGGACTCTCCGAGGCTCGCCTCGGGTCTGAGTCAGGCTGGGCCGCGCCGCTTGAAGTTCCCGGCGGGCCGGGGCGGCACTGCCGGCAGACGAACTTAACGGCAGTGGCCTGGCAATCCCCTCACCGTCAGGCTGATCCGGGCGGACTACAGCCTGACTCGCCTCAGTTGGGAGACGCCACGGTCCGATCGCCGAGTCGGAGGTCTTAGCTGATCACACAGCAGGACTTCTTGTGCACCTCCGCCGACAAGCGCTGAATCTGATCGGTGTGAGAGTTAAGCATCTTTCCTTGGTTCTTGAGGTTCTCCTGCATGGCAAGGTGATTCTGATTCATGTGCAGCTCCAGCTCCAGCATCCTGAAGCCTCGTCAGCACCTGCCAGCCCCCCTCGGTACCTGCGAGCGCGCTCACCTTCGCAAGACCACGTCGACGTTCTCCTGCTGCTTCTTCTGGATCGCTAAGAGCTCATCCAGCTTCGAGCTGTCCTGCCCTTGGCTCTGCTGGCTCCCTTCCTTGGACTGATGCGTGGAGAAGCTCATGATCTGCGCAGGTGGGGACATGCTCTCGGTCATGGGGGAGCGCTGCGACTGCTTCGGGGTTGACATCAGGTTTTCAGTTTCTGGCACAACCATGTCAGCAAGAGACCCTGCAGTCTCATCTCTGACCGATTGAAAGCGCCTTCACTGCCGGTACGGTCCTTCCCACTCCATGTTCAGGGTCCTGCGGGGTAGCCGCTGCTCCAACAAGAGCCCCGTCCTCCGTCAACCCTCCCTGCTCCATCGCCGCCCTCTGCTTTCGCGGCTCATCTTGGAGCAGCTACCCGTCAGCCTCCGCCTCCAAACCGTGAGGCCTCTTACCGGACGACTGCGTCGGGTTCCTTACGCTCATAGCGTTTGCCGTGATCGTCGCGCTGTCCTCAGGAAGCCCGTTGGCCTCCTCGTCTATCCGGTCATCCTCGGACGTGATCTGGAGCTGGAAGGGGCTCGACGGCAGCTCGACAGAGTTGACAGCCGTGGTAACGTCTTCGGTCGCGTCCGAGGAGAGGATCTGCCAGCAGCGTCAGGTCGGGGCTGGCAGGTCGAGTGCCCGACATGTCCGTTGGTGGCGATCGTGTCGTCGTCGTTGGGATGGTGCCTTCCATCAGACCCGTTGGACACCTGCTGGTTGTGGGGCCCGGCTTCACTGCGCGTCTTGTCCTTGCTCGCCTGCTGAAAGATCTCGCCGACAATGTTGTTCATCTCTGAGAAGGCGTTGTAGCCGGACGAGCTGGGAGCCGAGGTTGTGCTGGGGGACTGGCTTCCCTGCGACCTCGCCTTAGGCGAAGAGACGATGATGTTCCCCGAGGGGCCTCGCCGATGGAGCCGCACGCTCCTCTGCTCGGCATCGAAGGCTGCAAGGAAGGCTTAAGACAGGAGCAAGCAGCGGCTCTCCCCCGTACCGCTCTCGATCGTCAGATGCACCGCGCTTCCCAAGGGGCCAGCAAGCATGCTGGCGATCTCCTCTGCCCCCTTGTGTCGGATGTCAACTCCGTCTACCTGTAGCCTCTCTCACGACCCTCAGCCTGCCGTGAGCGACTTGCGCACCATCAGGAGCCGATCGCCGACGTGGATTCTCTTGCAGTCTGAGGCGGGGGAGCCCATCATCACCTCCGAGACTGACACGACCGAGTTGCTGAGAGGTCGTCAGAGCATCGCCAGCGCAAGCTTGACTTCGACTTGACCTGTCAACCATGAACTTGGCGCCGATGCCAGCCTTTCGGGGAGCGTGGTAGCTGTTGAGCGACACAGGGGTGCCTGTGTTGAACTCCTGTGCAGTTCCGTCACCTCGAGCTCAACGCTCCCATCCTCCTCCTGCTCCTTCTTCCTGCTCCTGTTCCTGTTCCTGTTCCTTCTTCCTGCTCCTGCTCCTGCTCCTGCTCCTGCTCCTGCTCCTGCTCCTGCTCCTGCTCCTGCTCCTGCTCCTGCTCCTGCTCCTTTTTCCTGCTCCTCCTCCTGCCCTTGCATCCTGCTCCTTCTTCTTCCTCCTGCGTCCTCCTCCTGCTTCCCCCTCCCTCCCCTCCTTCCTGATCCTCCCCTCAACCAGGTAGAGCAGTACCTTAGATACCGGCGAGTCACTTGATTTCAACAGAGGGATCCCGCTGCCGGGGCTTGACACTACCCCGTTGCTACTTAGGGTTCTGCTCCAACATTCAGAGGTCAATCTTCACGCCCACCTGCTGCTCGTACGCTGCGTTGCCCTTGAGCAGAATCTCCACGAAGGAGCCAGGGTGACCAAGGATGAGGTCGATCACTTCGTCAGAAGTCTTCCCTTGCATGGAAACGTCGTTCACAGCCAGGATCGTGTCCCCCACGAAGATCTGCTACCCCGTGAGCCCCGCGCTCTGTCCTGCAACATGCTACGTGACCTGCCCAGTCTTCTCTGCTGGCCCCCCGGGGAGGAGGGAGGTGATGACGTGCTGCCCTTGCTCGTTCTGGGTGAATTTGATCCCGATGCCCACGTATCCAGGAACAAGGGCATGCGACGAGTTGAGGGAGGGAGGCAGCCCACGACGAAGAACAGGAACAAGTCTGCGACAAGAGAGGTCCGAGCGATGATGATGAAGACATGAAAGATCAGAGCGATGATGAAGAAGACAAGAGAGGTCCGAGCGATGATGATGAGGACAAGAGAGGTCAGAGCGATGATGATGAGGACAAGAGAGGTCAGAGCGATGATGATGAGGACAAGAGAGGTCAGAGCGATGATGATGAGGACAAGAGAGATCAGAGCGATGATGATGAAGACAAGAGAGATCAGAGCGATGATGAAGAAGACAAGAGAGGTCCGAGCGATGATGATGAGGACATGAGAGGTCAGAGCGATGATGATGAAGACAAGAGAGATCAGAGCGATGATGATGAAGACAAGAGAGGTCAGAGCGATGATGAAGAAGACAAGAGAGGTCAGAGCGATGATGATGAAGACAAGAGAGGTCAGAGCGATGATGATGAAGACAAGAGAGGTCCGAGCGATGATGATGAAGACAAGAGAGGTCAGAGCGATGATGATGAAGACAAGAGAGGTCAGAGCGATGATGATGAGGACAAGAGAGGTCCGAGCGATGATGATGAGGACAAGAGAGGTCCGAGCGATGATGATGAGGACAAGAGAGGTCAGAGCGATGATGATGAGGACAAGAGAGATCAGAGCGATGATGATGAAGACAAGAGAGGTCCGAGCGATGATGATGAGGACAAGAGAGGTCAGAGCGATGATGATGAGGACAAGAGAGATCAGAGCGATGATGATGAGGACAAGAGAGGTCCGAGCGATGATGATGAAGACAAGAGAGATCAGAGCGATGATGATGAGGACAAGAGAGGTCAGAGCGATGATGATGAGGACAAGAGAGATCAGAGCGATGATGATGGAGTTTTCGGGCTCACCTCGTTGGGTTTTCCATGGGGTTGAAGGCAGGCGTAGCCTCTGCATCGGCTGCTCTCAGTCGTGAGTGAGGCGGGTCAGTTTGAGCATCACCACCGCTGTCATGTCCCGGGAGGATCTGGAATCGAGACTTGGAGTCTCCGGCAGTGAGATCAGAAACCTTGAGCTCGTCGGTCTTGGGGGAGGTGCGCTCCGACTGGAGTCAAGGGAGTCAGGTAGGAGGACAGTAACTGTGCATCCTTACCATCCGCTTGCGAAGCTCCGCAGCGACCTCCCATGCTGGTCGTTGTTCGGAGTAGTCGCCTCGCAGCTGCCTATAATGTAGCGCATGGCAAGGGTCAGCATCGCCATCACTGTACGACATCTCCTCGACGACCTGCGAGCTGCTGCTGTCACCACTGGGCTTGTCTTGGTGGGATACCCCGCGTTCCTCCTGCACCAGGCTCAGACTCCTCCTTCTGTCAGTGGGTTGGAACCGAAAGGTCGGCCGAATGCTCGACGGGATGAGGATATCGCTATCGGAGTCGTTGGACTCAGACATGCTAAAAGAGATTCAAGTCAGCTCGTCAACATGTAGCTGACGTTGTTGGACGGGGATCGAGACTTGTGTTAGCTTTGTTGTTGAATGATGTTGTCGACAAAACATGAAAGAACAACAACAAACATAAACAAGATTTTCACATCCACTCAAAACAAGCAAAAAGGTGAGGGGCATGGATCAAAGACTGGAGCAAGCTGATGATATCTCTCTGAGATGCTGATTGATAGTCCCATGTGAGTTGTACATTCCATGAAATCCTCAGGTTGATGCATATAAACTCTCAACAAGTTGACACCCACTATCCATGGAGGGAGCAGAGCAGTTCAACGGTTGGAGTAGGACAACGAGACCAGGCCCTCAGCAAAGGTGAACTTGTGCTTGTAAGTGGAGACAGAAGGGGAACTAAGGGGATTGACGCATCGTATTTGAGAAGAGAGCAAGATCAAGACAGCAGGAGCTTGGGGCAAGACGCTGATAGCAGAGCAGGGCTGCTGTTAGCTTCCAGCCACTCCCCTCATCTGACATTTTTCCATCATCTTGCAGCCATAAGCGGTAGTTTCATCTCGCCATTTTGGTCAGTCTTTGGCTACTCCCTGTCGTACCCCCTCAGAACACCTACCCTGATTTTTGAAGTCATTCTATGGGGTGGTGGGGTCCCTTCTATGAAAGTCGGAGTGGTACCTACGCCCTCGGCCGAGGAGAATCACAGAGTAACGGTAGAATGGTCCGACGGTTATACCCCTTAGTGTTGCCCGTTACCGTCAGTGGTACGGCAGTGACCGGCCGCAGCCGGCCGGGCCGGGCCGCCGTGACGGTGATCGGCGGGGGCACCCCCGGCCGGGCCGGAAAACCGTAGTGACGCGGAGCAAGCCTGAATCACAAGTTCAGGCCCCGCGGAGTCCGGCGGTTGCCAGCCGGGCCGCCAAGTTTACTCAAAGGACCGGGCGGGCCGGGGGCGGCAGCGGGCGCCCGCCGCCGGGCCCCCGCTCGGCGAGTCGGCCGCCGGGCCGCGTGCACTGAGCCTCCGCACTGGTCACCGGGTGACTCCGAGCTGCCGGATGATGGAGGGGTGGTGTCGATAAAGGGTCTAAGGCCGGTAGGGTCGTACCTCCACCCCACCCCCCTGGGCCTGATGGCTTTTTTCTCTCCTGTTACATGTCAGAGCAGGGGTAGTCGAACATTTTGAAGGCACCTTGGGTTACATGGCATTCGTAGGGGTTAGGGTCAAGAGAATTAGATGGGTAGGGTTAAAGAAGATGTTTCTCCAGACCCGGTACTTGCCGAGAAATTTATTCTAAGTAGATGGGTAGGGTACAAAAATTGATACCTTAGGAGGTATGGTACAAAGAGTAAGTATGGGGTCATGCTTTTTCAATGGGGTAGGTGGTCAATGATGCTCGTGGGGTGGGGTGGTGGGGGACGCATGTGTGAATCAAGGGAGGCGACGATGGTGTGAGAGGAAGAGAAGGAGGAAGAGAAAGACGAGAGAGAAGAGAAGAGGAAGAAGCAAGGAAGTGGACGAGAAGGAGGAACAGGAAGGGGCGACATAGTCTGCTAGTGGCTGAGCAAGGAACGGTGTCTCTCGTACCTGTCCTGTACCCTAGAGGAGTAGAGGATCATTTGACATAGGGAGGAACCAACGACGTCGGTGGTGTTGGCGGATGAGCAGAACTGCATCGAGATAGTCTGTTGACTGCAAGGCCATTCCTGGAGCAGAGGCAATCCGATTGCATCCCTCCATTCGCTCGCACCGCGCAGGTCGCACAAGGAGCAGGAATTCTGGGATCGAATTAAACTTGATTCTTGGAGGGTTTGCCGGTGAATAGACATCGGCCCCCGAGCAAGCAAGGACTGGAAGTCGTCAGAGAGGCACATAAGAGGAGGATAAGTTGATACAAGAGGATCAGATTCGAGATTGGTCGTGCCATTGGGGACTATCGCCATCGGCTGTTGCAGCGACGAGTGAGATTGGAGAGGGTTGAAGTGCACGAGACATTGAACTCCATAGCTGGAAGGACGTAGGCGACAATGTTAGATAGGAACCGAACATCGCTGCTGCTTGTGCTGCTGCTCTCGTCATGTGTGTCCGTGCAAGGACACGCTGGAGACGGACTGGTGATGAGGATGAGGGGAGGGACGGGGAGAGGCGGGCCTCGCGGAGGATTTCGTAGCAAGGGAGGAAACTTCAAGTGGCGCCATCCGCACGTCATGTTTGAGCGGGTGAGTGAGAGGGAGCGACGGCATGCTTGCAAGCGTTGAGCCACGTGGCAGGCGAACAATCAGCCGAATCCGAAGCCAGCTAGAGAGTCGTTGAGGAACCGGAAGACGGTGAGGCGCAGGGGGCGACAGCTCCGAGCCGTAAAAGTCTAACCTGCCCGCCTCAGATCCTCTCGACAGGCAAACAGACGGCAACTCAGACGCCGCACCACGTGGAGATAAAGCGATCCCACCAGTCATACTACATTCGTTTCAACAGCAAGCGCGGAAAGAAGTGAGGCTCTCCTGCCTTGAGGCTCTCCTGCCGTCGGTCTCTCACTCCCTCCTGTCACTGCAGGATCGTGAAGACCCTCATGAAGGACAAAGCTTTCCTTCTCGGGGCTGGTGCGAAAGTGGAGCTTGACCCGGACCAGTTCAAGTATGACTGGCGCGACAAGATCAAGAAGCCAAGAGAGTTGAAAGTTGGGCTGTGAGCTTTTGACTTGGACACCTTTCCTTTGTTGACACCCTTTGCAGGAAAGGATACGGAAAACCGCCGTACGATTTCACCAACAGATACCTTGGAGGCCCAAAGCAATGTTAAATGTCGAGACGAGGAGGAAGAGGAGGAAGGATAAGGGGGCACAAGACGAAGGGGAGGAAGAGGGAGGGGGCACGAGTTCGCCATCACGACAATCAACGAGCTACATCACAAATGTACAATCTCCAACATCTTATGCTTGCGTCGAAACAAAAATGTCAAAAAACAGTCCATGGCTCTCGCCACGAAGCTGTCCGGCATCCCTGACTTGGCCTCCCCGTGCCTGACGTTGGTGGCTCGTTCGCTGAGACGAGGGGCGGGAGCTTCAGCTTCGAAACCCCTGGAACACCGGCGAGCGCATCATCGACGACCCGTTTGAGTTCGTCGGATGGTTAGTCTGATTTAGGCCCAGCGCATTCCCTCCGAAGAAGGCGGAACTGAAGCTCGGCGACTCCAGTATAGCGCTCCCTGTGCCTTGTCAGCACCCACCTGATACTCCCGCCATCCTCACTTACCCGCCATCATCCCCATCTCCTCTGCAAGCTGACCCATCTCGCCCCGACCACCCTGTTCCTGCGTCAGCTGCGGCAGGAAGCATGTCCCCTCACCTGAATCATCCCTCCGACTGGAGAACTCCATGTGCTCATGGCTGGATGCGCGGCAATCTCGGGAGGGAGAGTGAACTGCAGTCCCAACGCCGTCAGCTCCTCCCTGACGCGCTCACCCGTCTACCTCGGCACTCTGAAGGAACTTGACGAGAGCAACCTGGTGTTCTGGTCACGAGATGGGAGGAGCAAAGGGGGGAGCTGACCTCGAAGCTGGACTCATTCTTGTACTGTTCGAACCTGACACATTCCAAGGTCACGCTTTGCTTCCTCTCCTCCCGTTCTCTCTCCTCCCGTCTCGCGCATGCATCCCCCAACCTCTTCCCTCTCCAAACTTCCCCCCGTCCTTGCCCCTTCATGCCGCAGCCATTTTCCCACTTGCATCACCTCTGAACAGATTCCTCGGTCAGCCTGGAGTTCCTGTCGTATCTCTCTGGCGCACGCTGCCGGGCGATGGCGTCTATCATCTCATCCGAGCGGTACATCATCTCCTCGAATGCGTCGCTGCCTTGCGAGAGGTTGTGGATCTTGTGGCTCAAGAAATCTTCCATCCTGATCGACTCAGGGCTGAAAGAGTTTTGCTGCTGGGGGTACTGCTGCTGCTGCTGCTGCTGCTGCTGCTGTTGGTACTGCTGCTGATGTTGCTGATAATATTGCTGCTGCTGCTGCTGTTGGTGGTAATGCTGGTGCTGGTGCTGTTGCTGGTGCTGTTGCTGGTGCTGTTGCTGTTGCTGTTGCTGTTGCTGGTAATGCTGCTGCTGCTGCTGCTGCTGCTGCTGCTGCTGCTGCGGCGGCGGCGGCGGCGACAGATGGTGCACATTTTGATTCATGGCCACCTGCTGTTGCCGTTGCTGTTGTTGGTGTTGGTGCATACCCTGTTGGGGCTGGTGATGATATGGTTGACACCCATACTGATCTTCATGCTGCTGTTTTTGACAGTGCAAATCCTGTTGACCATGTAGTCCCTGATTCTGTTGCTGTATTCCATGCTGATGGTGCTGGTAGTGCTGAGACCCGTACTGGTCCTCATGCTGATGTAGTTGATATGACCCACTCAGCTTCTCATGCGAGCCATTGTGCGGGTTAATTTGCTGCTGCGGCTGCGGCTGCGGCTGTTGGAGGTAGTGCTGCTGTTGGTGTTGGTACTGCTGAGACTCATACTGACCTTCATGCTGCTGCTGCTGCTGCTGCTGCTGCCAACTCTGCTGGTCATTTAAGCCAGGTGCTTGGTACTGCTGCTGCTGCTGCTGGTAAGTGGGAGAACCGAAATGGCCTTGTGTTGGGATGGGCTGGTGCTGCTGGTCCTGGTGCTGCTGGTATTGCAGGCTCTGCTGCTGCAGCTTTAGCGAACAGTACTGCTCTTGCTCCTGAATGATCTCTTGTTGATACTGTTGGAACGGCGAATGCCTTTCAGAGTTGAAGGACTCAGGGCCGGAGGATGAGTTGAAGGAATTCATCTGGGACTGCACAGACTGCAGGGTGACAGAGTTGGGAGGAGAGTTCTGCAGGAAGTAGCGGCGCTGTAGGAGGTTGGACACGTGCTTGGCCAGGCTCTCCATAAGCCGAATCTCGTGCTTCTCCATCTTGTCCGGCTTGTCGTCGATGACGCACAGCGTCCCCACCTTGTGCTTCTGCGCGTTATGCTCCACCTCAAGTGGGATGCCACAGTAGAATCGGATCTTCGGATCGAGCTGCACCAGGGGGCTGAACTTGAACCGGTCGTCCTTGGTGGCGTCCTCTACCAGCAGCGGACCGTCTTGCAAGATCGCGTGCCCGCAGAAGGCAACATCCCTGCTTGTCTCCCTCTTGGGCATCCCGACGCGAGACTTGAACCACTGCCTGTCCTCGTCCAACAAACTCACAAGTGCAATGGGCTTGCGGAAGCACATGGACGCGATCTCCGTTATCCTGACGCTCCAGGTGAGATTAAATTTCCTCTCCCCTCCTCATCGTCCCTCTTCATAGCCAACTCCTTGCTTCCCTCTTCCTTTACCACCCTCCTCGATCCTCACCTGTCAAAATCGGCCTCCGGCTCCGAGTCCAAGATCTGTGCACAACAGAATCAGCTGGTGAGAGAGGAGGTGTTGTCTCACATTGATCATCTTCAGCACCCTCAGTCTTTCATCCTCATTCTCCGGCATCGGCGCCCCGACATGAACTCCATGACCGATCTCCATGCACTCGTCAGCATCGATGTCCATCTTCAAGCTTTAGCTGTGAAACTGACAACTATGCAAGGAGGAGCTGATCCCTCAGTCCAGCAATCTGGCCAGCACGCGCGAGTTCATGCCAGAGCCCTGGAACTTCAAACATCGAGTCATTCCAGGCCGAGTGTTTGCAATTCAGGTAGAAACGACCCTCAGGTGGAGCCGACCATCTTGACAAGGCAAGTAGGGAAGGTTTGCAACATCGACATCAACACGGGGATGAACATCTTGAGCTCATGACATCTTGAGATGAGCACCTTGAGCTCATGACATCAGATCATTGGGGAGACTGGACGAAAGATACGAGGACAGTGCGAACGATCAATTGAGTTTAGGTGAGAAACAACGATCAATTGAGTTTAGGTGACAAACAAGCACGATATATCTCGACTCATATGAAATCACAGCTTTTCCTCGTCAGAGCATCCTAACATCCCAAACTTAAACTTGATTGTTGAGGGGTTCATTTCGATTGGCCTTTCCTTACATCCCCTCACGCCCCCTAAACTTCCTCCTATATGCCATCCAACTCTTCCTGTCTCGTCCAACATACTTCTCTCTCACCATACCTCTCGCATATCGGCCCTTCCTTTCTTGCATCAAGAAAGTGGCTCCCTGTCTTTGCTTATCTCTTCTCCATGCCTACTCCTCCTCTCCTCCCCCCTCCCTCTCTTCCCTTTGCCTCCTCCAGTCCATCGCTGCTTCTTTCAATGCGGGTGATCATCAAAAGCTTGTCCCTTAAAACAATTTTACAATCTATAAATGTTTTCCTTAAAAAGTTTTGTTTCTCCGCCGAGGCAACTTTTCAAAATGTTGACCATTTATCAATCAAGTTCTCCCTAGTTGAAATGTTGAGAGAGATAATCGAGGAAACCTTTCAAATTTTGGTCGATTTAAGTGGTCGGTATTTCTCTGTGACAGCGCTGTCATTAATTTTTAAAACCTCTGGTCTTCAGACATCCCCTAAAAGAAGTCTACAAGCAATTTTAACCGAGATAAAATGTTTTTGATCACGGAAGCGCAACACCACCCCCTCCCCCTTATAAAACATTTTGGAGATATTAAAATACATATTAAAATACATTTTGAAGAGTATACAATGTTTTGTACAAAAGGTCAAATTTCCTCATCCCCACACATACCCCAACGGGGGATAGCCCCCAAGACTTTGAGTAAAGTTCCCACAACTGCGGCCCGGCCTGGCCCGGCCCTGGCCCGGCGCGGCGCCACCGGGCCGCCCGGGGCCTCCGGCGGCGAGGCAGGGCCCCATTGAAGTTACACACTGAGACTCCTGTTCTCAACCTGTTAGGTGGGGTAGTTGTATCTCTGCCACCGTACCCGTACTCTTATAGTTAGTTGAGGGGGTGGGAACAGTCCTTCTGGGAAATGTGTCCATTGAGATAGGGTAGGGGTATTATCAGAGTCATGAGAAGAGGGTGGGGGTGATTGTGGTACTGCACGGTGGTAGGGTCCAGTTAGGACAGTTTTAACACACTTTGAGCCGAGGGTGAGTGGCAGAGGATCAAGTTCGGAGGTGGGGTGGGGGTACATCATGACCGGGGTGGGGTACAGTGGAGTTCGTACTTCACACGAACATCCGACCCTCCGATTTTGTCACCCAGAGATTTTTTAGGGAATGGTAGTGGGGTCCCTATGTTCCGTTGCACAGGAGGGGTGTTTTTGAGGGGTGGGTGGTATAATGTGGGGGTAGTACACCCCGATAGGTATATACTGGTGGAGTAACTTAGAATGCAGGTACCCCATGATTTCCAATAGTAATCTGGGGGTAGGGTGCGGGATAGGAAAGTAGGGTCGTCGGTACTTCGGATTTGGTAGCAGTGGAGAGGGTCATTTTGATTAGGCAATAAATGAAATAAAGGGGGTGAGGGTGGTAGGACAGGGTCATCACAGAGGAAAAAGGGGGTGGGATGTTTTCGTCGGTCCTTTAAAGTCCACAGGAGCTAATAAGCTGATGTTGGCTATTTCGTGCACTTGCTGAGAAGTATGGTGGGGTAGTATGGGAGAGGTACTTCCATGAGGGTGATTTGAGTCGACAGATAGGGTAGTCAAGACCAGGATTTGAATTTGTGCGAGGAGGGCGAAGGGGCAGGGGTGGGTTATCTTAGAAAGAGTCGGAGAATTAAGGGTGGGGTGAGACAGGCGAGGATGATGTGGTGGGTAGTAGTGGAGTCGTAACTATCCACTTTCACCGGTATCTTTTCCTATTTCAAATAGTCCACAGGTGGGTGAGGTAGTCACTGGTGATTGTACATATGGTGGGTCATTGAAACATAGTAGCACAACAAAGGTGGGTCGGTGACCGACCAGGTACCCATTCGCAAGCTGTTTATGAGCACCGGTGGGCTCTCGCGTGCACGGGTTACCCCAATCTCACTCACCTGGTGAGTGGTGGTAAAGTGAGGTTGTGAGAGTGGAGGTGGGGTGAGACCGAGCCCTATCAGGATCAAGCATACGCTGGAATCAGAACGGGTAAGAAGAACACAAAAATACTTGAAAATTGGGGGTAGGGTGATGTGCGACGCGGTAGACTACCAGGGTAGTCTACGTGTGAAGGGTGCTGGGTGACCACTCTGCAGCAATAGCAGGGTGATCAATTCCAAGCCAGGGGTAGTCGGTATGTGGGGTAGGTAGTCGCTGGACAGGGGTGTGGGGAAGGAGCTATGGAGCGAAAGAGGAGGGGTAATCTGAGGGGTAGTCGATGGGAAAGGAGGGGGTAGAATTTTTTCATCGGCTAATAGCCGATTTATAGGTTAAGGCCACGGGCTAGGCGCCTTCCTCCGCCATGGCAGACGCAGAAACAGAGAAAGGGGGGAGGGAGGAGTAGATGAAGGAGCAGGGCAGGAACAGGCAACTCAGTGGAGCATGCTACACATAGATGTAACACTTTGAGGCATCAGAGCCATGACTCGTCGTTGCAAAGCGATGCTGCAAGGGGTTGGGGGCGATTTGAAAACTGCGAGATATCGATTCGTCGTGCTTGGCGGAACTATCGACAGCCGGAGTATTTTACGTGGGGGTGGGCATTCTTTAGAAAACGACAAGAAAATGAGTGATGAGGGACAAGTAGAACGCGTATCTCGTGAATCTATGTCTTTGACGGTTTTGAGATTTTTCAAGAATGTTTTACGTGGGTTGCGACGCATGTCGCTCGGATGCGATGTCGGATTTCCCATGATCGATCTACTTGTGCTCGCTCTAGATTTATGTTCATAAGCTCTCACGTTTTTGTCCATTCAAATCTGAATAGCTGCATAGCTATTGCAAATGGACAAAAACATTCCTTGTGTTGCTTCTTATCATGCAATATGTTGCGATCACGTGGCTCTGTGGAATGAAACAGTTTCATCATCTGTTTTTGTCCACACTTGATCACATGAGTTTCTCTGCTCCCAAAATTTCACATTGTGTTTGATTGATGGAATTGTTTCATATATCATTCGACATGAATTTTCGTGCATGCTGCCCATTTGTTCGCAAACCCTTTGCAGGGTTGATTGCCTTTCCTGAATGACAGTTTTGTTGTTTGCAGAGTCTTACAATCTCCTTGTAAAAGTTGCACTAGCAACTTTTCACTTAACCTTCTGCATGATTTGGTGATATGGACGAAGGCATAATGAATCTAGATTCGGATTCAATGTTTTTAAATGATCTCTTCGGAGATGACCTGGATAACGATGCAGTGCTTGGCGATGCATTGGGGCAGGGCGATGCTAGCAGTAGCCTTGCTGAGTTTGAAATGCCAGAATCTCCAGAAGCTCTTCTTTGGGGTGGGGGACCTGGTACCAATGAGCCAGCAACTAGTGCACCGCAATCAGCAAATCGCTCGATGCAGCAGACGCAGCAGACACCATCGCAGGGTCATCCACAAATGCCGATGGTGTCTCAATCGCAATCATCTGCTCATATGCAACAGTCTTCGAGCCAACTTCCCGTGTCGCAGGTTTCATCGCAGGCAGCGAACATGACTAGTGCATCGCAGGGGATGATACAGACAGTTGCAACTAATAATGCGAGCGCAAGGAATGCGGTTGGTCGTCCTCCGAGTAATAACAAAGGTTCTTCTTCGACTGGTGCGGGGCGCGGACGGAAAAACAGCACTCCGAGTTTGACCGCCGCGTCTCCTGCAGATGACATGCAAAATTCAGGCTCGAATCAGCTTGACATGGGAGGTGCTCCAGATCAAATGAGTGGCACACCTCGAAACTCTATGTCGCAAGGAATGCCAGTAAGCGTGATGATGTTTGCTTTGTTGTATGCTGATTGTGATTTTCGTTGCAGAGCCAATCACATCCTGGCATGATGCAGAATCAGCAGTCGATGCCTGGTCAAGTTGGCATGGGTCCAATGTCTCCATCAATGAATCAGGGGCAGATGGGTATGGGACCAGGAGGGATGGGTATGAACCAGGGCGCAGCAGGAATCGTGCGGACCCCGTCGGGCAGCGCACCTTCTCCTCATGGCATGCAGGGTGGAATGCATCCTCATGGTATGCCTTCCTCAGGATCAATAGGAGGGCTCCCCCCAGGTATGGGCGCTGGGATGCCACCGCACGCACATGCCCAGTCGCCTCAGTTTCAGCAGCAGCAGCCATCCCCGCAGCAGCCATCCCCGCAGCAACAGCAACAGCAAATGATGCACAATGCTTCTGCTCAGGTTCAGTACATGCAACAGCAACAAGCGGCTCAAAGGCAAGGTATGCCGCAGAACCCATCTGTTCACCCACAGATGCAACAGCAGGTAGGGGTGCAACAATCGCAGTCGTCCATGCAGCCAAATGTACATGGACAATACCCTTCACAAGCTCCGGTGGGACAGCGTCCGCAACATACTATGATGGCCAATGCCCGTGGACAACCTTCGCCCCAACATCCTGGTCATCAGTACCAGCACGGAATGATGGCGCAGGCTGCGCAGTCACAAATGATGCAGGGCCAGCCGTACGGACAGCAGCAACAGATGCACTCGCAACAAGGGTCAATGCCGCAAGCCCCTCCTCAGGCTGCTCAGCAGTCTCCCCAGCAGCTCCAGGCTGGCTCGCCTTATCATCACCAAAGCCAAATGCCAGGCCAACACCCTCAGTATCAACAGCAGCAAGCCTCTCCCCACCAGCAACAATTCCAGCAGCAACATCGAATGCCGAATGTAAGGACTCCACCAGGCCCAATAGAGAAAGATAAAGAAAGCTGATTGTTTGCCGCAGGTTCAAGTTCAGCAACAGCCTACACAGCAGCAACCTGTAGCTGGTGCTCCTGCGCAGACATCACCATCGATTCATGCTAGCAACAGCCAACAGATGGGACCTCCTCCCTCGCTGCAAAGCGTTGGAAATCGGCTGCAAACTTGCCATTCGAGAATTTTGGAGGCCTTGCAACGCTGTGCTTCTCTCCTAGCAGCTATAAGGTGGTTTGTTTGTGAGAAACTAGAGCGTCATTGACTGATGGTGTAGGAGAATCTGTCCACCTGAGGCCCAGATGCAATTGCAACAGCAGATGCCAAGTTTGATTATCGAGGCTGCGCACCAAAATTTGATAGCTGCACAGCAAGATCTTGCTGCTCTTGCCAGATCTTCAGGATCGAATCCGGGTGCATCTCCAGCGATGCCTCCTCAAGGCAATCAGATGCCTTCTGGATCGGTGCATCATTCCTCGATGCCAGTTGGGGGTTCAGGTCAAATGGGATGGGGGAGTGGACAGGGGATGCCAATGCAACAACAAATGCCTCCAGGACAACAGATGCCCCAGCCAGGTCAGGCAGGTCAACAAGCGCAGCCTACTGCGCCGCATCAAGCCTCACCTCAACAGCAACAGCAGCAGCAACCGCAGCAGCAGCAGCAGCAGCAGCAGAATCAGGCTGGTCGTGGGCCTGGCAATGTGATGACACCAACTGGAGGAGCAATGAATCAGGGTTTGCAGTCCCCGATGCATTCGCAAACACCTCAGGCAATGCAAAACTCGGCTAACAGTTCTGCCAATCAGCATTCACAACAAATGATGCCGTTTCAGAACAACCAGATGCAACAAAGCCCTGCTGTCCAACAAAGTCCGACTTTGCAGGGTAGCCAAGGGGCACCCCAGCAGCAAGGGGGACAGCCGCCTATTCAACCGGGCATGCCAGGCAAGCAGGAATTCCCAAACGGTGCTACACAAGAATCCGATGAAGATGATTTGGTTATCGTCGGAAGCATCGGAACATTCAGCTCTGACCTTCCACATGCCCGTGCTCACTGCGTAAATCGACCTTTCAAGGCGAGATGATGAGCTCGATGAAGAAATTCTCTGACGTGGTGTTGTACCAGATTGTGAAAGATAGGGTTGGTGTGGAAGGAGGGAACAACGAGACATACTGCCCGAATTGCTTCTGCTATGTGTGTGATTTCAAAGCTTCCGCATGTCAGGTGAGAGAACCTAGCTGTATGATTCATCATGGCTTCTAACCTGGCATCAGGGCTGGTTGAGAGTGGGACATTGTCATGCTCATGACAAGGACCCATACTGGCGGGCTTTGCGAGAATTTACTCGTACAGAGATGCTTTCGAACAGCCCGTTGCTGCCGGCGTTGGGATGCGACGAAGCTGCACAGATGGAAGCACATCGATGGTGTGTGAATGGCCTGCTAGCGTTCCATCGCTACCGTGATGGTGATCCGGGACCTGGTGGCGTCTTCAATCATTCTTTCCAGCATGTGACAGACGTAGCCTCAAGGTAATCATGGTGGGGAGGTATCTTACTTTCGTTCTGATCAGACTGGCAGTGCCATGAAAGCGATTGTTGGTCACCTATCCGGTCCCAAGGGCCCACGCACAACTCTTGCAGTACTAGACGGCATTACCTCTTCCATTGTCATCAACACATGGCGCCCTGGTGCAGCTCAAGATGCCAAGCACAAGTGGTGCAAAGGGACATACGCGGCCTACAAAGCTATCATCGAGCAACTGGAGAAGTATTGGGTTCTAGCCATCGTTCACACGTCGACACGGAGCGTTCCTCCTCAGGCCTTGGCGATCATGGCTCAGAGACTGAAGCGACTGAGCAAGTTGGCCGCAAAGGAAGTTGCTGGTGGAACTCCACAGATGTCTCACGTTCCTTTGACACATGCTGTGAGTGCGTGTGAGCGAGGTTGGACGCACCCTGTGGTAGTCTCGATCCTGGAAGGCCAGTGCAGGGAGATGGGACAACGTGAGGCGCAGACTCTACAACGAGCTCGTTTGCATGTTCTGGAAAGAGCGCAAAGATGGAAAGAAGCGTACCACTATGCTATCTTTCATGGGCACGTGGCCAAGTCTTTGGCTTACATGGTGATGTGCATCTCTTTTTCTGTCCTTGATTTTGTCTGATCGTCTGCGACAGGTACGGGCCGGCAGGCATGCAGAGGTTCTCCCCATGGTCTTCGGCCAGAGCGCTTTAGCAGGAGGAGGCAAGTGCGTGCCAGTTTGTGCCGAGTTGGCCAGCTGCAATCAATCGGACATTGCAATCAGGCTTGCAATGTAAGCGCCCCCTTGCGTTTTGACCTTGCTGAGCATTGCTGTAGGTACTGCGCGTTTGGGGATTATGAGAAGGAGATTGGCCATGGTGACCAGTTGATCCAGAACAGGATGCCGTACGTTCAGTGGCTGGTAGAGCACGTGGT